CTGTCCACACAACAGTTTCCTTCATTTTTAGTTCTGACTGTGTAATCCCTGCACAGCACTCCATCTCCTATTTACCCTAAAGACTGCAAGAATGTGGCATCAAAATCAGACATTGTGAAAAACTGCCCCTATCGTTTTGATATTTGTTTCCTAAGTCTCTAGGGTGAAACACAATTTTATAGCCATAATGGGCTCAAGATGTAAAAGAAGGAATAAACCCACCTTCAAACAGTAATGACCACAACCACCTACAATAGGCCATAAGGCTGAATGTTTCCCTAGACAGAGACCCATTAATGGCATTTTGTAGATAGGCTCATGTTAGAGTCTAACAAGAAAATTTAGTCTCCTTGTGTGAGCAGAAAGGCAATTTATCTCTATGGCATTGACAACAGAAGATGAAAGTAAATTAAGAGCTATAAATCATTGCCTTATCATTGAAAATGCTACTTGATACAGAACTAGCAATGCTGCCACTTGAAATGGCTATAATTTACAAGAGGTGGCAATGAGGATAATTCATATACGGGTGAAATATAAACCTGTTAAGAAAGATCTTATGTGAAAATTTAATCTCAAAACATGGCAGAGGGCTAGCCAGTCAGTTCAGTTGGTTAGAGCACAGCCTTATAACACCAAGGTCAGGGGATCGGATCCCCATATATTCCAGCTGACAAAAACCAAAAAACCATGGCAAGAGCTTTCAGACTGCCACCCCAACTTAAAACTAAAAATTATGAAAGTCTCTCCATTTCTCCAATTCCAAAATAGCTAAAACTCTTAATGCATTCTAAACTCAAGTATGTATCATCCCCACCAAGTCCAAGAGACGGGAGCCATTTAAAACGTGAAAATAATGTTTGTGGTCCTTCAGTATGATACTAGAGTCTCTAAAAAAAAGAACAAAGGCACTCTCCCCCGATATGCCCTTGTTTTATAGTCAGTGCATTGCAGTTGGCAGAGAATACCATCAATGCATCGTGTGGACATAAGGCAATAAAAATGTAATCTATGCTGTGTTTACTCTATCAAGCTACATTTCTTTTTTTATGTCTATGGACACGTACCGATATGGGAACTTTGTCAAATATGTGAAATGAATGTGAAAGAATGAATGCTGGTGTCATTTTTATTAATATCTATATTCTCTACTTAGCACAATGCACCAAAATTTAAAAGCATCCTCAAGTCTGCCTCTAAAAAACATATGTGAAGCAACAGCAATAACTGGCATTTAGAATGTCTAAACCTTAGGTTATTGCTTTTGTCAATTTGTCAGAAGCTATTTTCAACTTCATTAATAGTGGCTCATAAAGAAACGACCTGTCATAACTACTCAACACTCAAAAGATGAGTTCAAAAAGTCAACATCTTCAATATTGTCCACTTTTGTAGAAATTGTAGCAGTAAAAGCAGATGGAACTGTTAACCTCTATGGAGATCTTAAGGATAAAACCAATTTCATTTTACATCAGCCTTCCATAAGCAGTCTTTCCCTACACTTGTATATTTTATTTTATATTGTCATTTAATTCTATCACATGCCTGGGTCTCATCTCATCAATAAAGCTATCAAGTTATTGAAAGCAGGGTACTTGGATTACTTTGGTGGTGCCCATCAAAATACCTAGCTTAGCACTAGCACATCCTGCAGTTACAAGTAACTGCTGTATTAAACTAAGGATTGGCCTGTTGGATGCTTTTTTAAAAAAATAACGTTTTATTGAACCACAGCATCTATCTGTTTACATATAGTCAGAACAGCGAGAGCACCTTCTACCTTATCTTGCAAAAGGATAGTGGTCTAACAAATTAAATTTCATAAACATCTACTGAGAACTGGAGGCTACTGATATTCTAACACTTCAACATGTCCTCAAGCTTGTGGAAAGTATACCTATTTACACCAGCCTAGTTATATCTCAGAGTCAGACATGGGGAAACTACTAGTCTGGAACAGTGCTTCTCAAGCCAGGGTGATTTTACACCCCCCCCCTCCCGTGGACACATTTAGAATAGTCTGGAGATACTGTTAGTTATCACAGCTAGAGTTGTGTTAAAGGAGCCAGTGATGCTGCTAAATATCCCACATGCATAAGAAAGACTCCCACCACAATGAATTATCTGGCCTGAAATGTCAACTGTCAAGGTTGACAAACCTTGGTCCAGATGTTGTTTGTACCACATCACTGCAAGTGAAGGAGCCAGAGATCGGTCACTGTTTGGCCAGATCCCATGGTGCAATCAGCTGACTGAGAATGAGCATGATGCTCTTTCTAAGATTAAATGCATTAAGGAGTTGGTCTGTTTGCCTTTTGAGATGCAATCTGAGGAGACCACTAGAAAAAATTATCATAGCCTCATATCTGATATATAAACTAATCAACAAATATTTATATAATAACTTTACTATTTATGAACACTGCATGGTACAGACAATGTGAAATTTCTGCACTGTCCTAAACCCAAATGGGCAGATGCAAAATTAATGTTGGAAATGACTCAGCTCTCTCAAGATTCTTTATCTCAAATGGCAAAGGATTTTTTAAAGGATTCAAATCCGTAAGTTCGAATAAAATGGAAGCTCTCAATCACATTTTTCTGTCCCTTATATTTGTGATTTAGACTCTTATGTATAAAAACGAAAGACTCCCAAAAAACTGTGTCCCTAAATTGCAATGCTTAAAAATTGGTTTTTATGAGAAAAATTTAAAATATACAAATGCCTGATTATAATAAGTCTTGATAGGATAATTATTTGATTTACAATTTAGACAATCATACATTTTCTTCCTAAGTGTAATCATGTATCAGTTCAACTGGAAAGCTTTTTCTATCTCATTTCACATTTATCATTTCACTAGAAGCAGCTCAGACTGCGCTACCTGTGAAACCAACCAACTTTGTACAAAGAGGTGTCATCCAATTAGCTCTAACTTGGTGAAGAGCAAGTGTAAGCCCAAGTTGCCTAATCAAACAGGCTTGCTTGCCTTCAGTTGTGGCTCATTTTCTCTGAATTGGGTCTGCTATCTGCATTTGACCTCCATATGACCATGACTTTTTCAATTCAAATGTGCAGCTTCATGATAAATAAGACTGCATGGCTGCACAGGCTATAAATAACTAGAAATTATATGCTTTCTCTTGTCTGTTTGTACTCGCACTGCAAAACCCTTCACTTGCTGTGATTAAATAGTCTCTGCAGGTAGACAAGAAAATATAGCTGCCAAAATAACTGTATCCTCCTAGAATGGAAAGGTGTCAGGAACCCAAACACACTGCAAGTGGATGAAGAAAATTACTGGGAAAGAGAAAATTACAAAACAGGCTTTCAATATTGTTTGGAAGAGTGGACAACACAAACAGTAGTTATGTGTACTTCATGAAAAAAAATTTATCAAATGTTCACTTCCATCAATTAATAAAAATGGAAAAATGCAATTCTTTTATATCTTATAATGATATAGAATGAAACTTGAAGGAAAAATAATCAGTTTTGTAAAAGTGTGGGACAGACATTTAATTTACTGATGTATGTGATGTTCATGGAACTTAGGAAAATATGTTCTTAATATTCTTCATTGTCTTTCCACTGTTTTCTGTATTCTTAAAATGTGCTTCTGAACCTCGAAAGCAGTTTTGCTAACCAAGAAGACAATGTCAGAACCAAATGCTTAGCCATTTGGTATACAGAATACATGCAGCCAAAATGTCATTTAGGTTTCAAACCTGGTCCTGCCATTCTATGGCTCAGGACAAGTCACTAAGCTCTTTAAGCCTCATTTTCTCACATGTACAAAGAAAATAAGTAAAACATCCACAAAGTATCCTGGAGAAAAAGAGAGGATCGGCAAAAATGCTCGGTACAAAGCAACACGCCATGCAAATCAATGTATTATCAATCCTATGTGCAATAAGTTGAGTTTTTCCTCATCCTTCTCTGTCTACACAGTGGCCATTCTTTTGATGTTCTTAGAGAATAATGCTATGTTTATTGTGGCAGTAAAATCCACATCCTTCAAAAGTTTACCTAATATTATACGTTATATCTTACAAAGGCCATTAAAACACTTAGAAATCTTCTGTAAAGTACATAATTCTCCATCTATAATTTATTGTTTTTTAAAATTTAAGACACTTGGTTTCATCAATTTTAAGACTAGTTTTTTCTTCCAGAATAATGTAGATAGATGCTAATTTGAATTATAAAATATCTAAGCTACAACTGAAACTGTGTCTCTTCTTCCAACGATAAGGATCAATAGTACATGTCATCCCTAACCTAAAGCTGGATAAACCTACTTCTAGATATAATCCAAATTCAAAAATGAGTGTTTATGTATTTGACACCACATCTGAAGCCAAGCTAGACTAATAATAACTGAAATAATCACAAAACTTAAGACATCGTAAGACCTGCAGCAGTTGTTCGATACATTTTTTTATAGGAAGCTCTTTCTCTCCTTCCTAATGATAAGATCAAAAGCCATGCACCTCTGACCTACTACTGTGCATTCTGAGAGAGAAGGAAGAGGTGGTTCAATGACCTAAAGTGACCTTTCACTTTTAACTCTGAAACAATTGTCTTACAACACATAACTGAAACCTGAGAACACAAATGAGTCCGCGTACCACAGTACAAGAATATTAAACATTTTTCTGGGAAATAAATTACTCACATATATGGTCTCTTTTTAAATTGTGGCATTTTAGCAGCTTTTTAGAAAACAAAATAATGATACCAAATAAAACACAAAAATAATGTTGCATATACAATATTTAATAGAGCCACACTAAATAAAAAGGAAATTGACAGAAATAGAAGCTGAGTCAGTATTGTTAGCCTGACATTTCAAGTTTTCTGGCAAAATTAGACATCATTACAAGCAAGGTAATATTCAAGAACCACAGAACCATGCAGAGAAGGTGATGATACTGGAGTCATCACCCAGCCATGCAACATACCCCACCTCCCTTCCCACAAGTGAACGACAACATACGTTTAACAGCATCTTGGGGAAGAGGTTCCCAGGTAGTCTTGAGTAAACTTTGGGACACTATGGAGAAAATAAGAGAATATAACTAAAAACAAAAACAAACATGGAAATGAAGGGTGAAACTCTCTCACACAATTCCATTGACCAAAACAAAATAAAAAACAAACAGAAAAATCATTCAATTAAAAACAAAAAAACTAAACAAATACCCTGAGGTTTAGTTTCTCTGTGAAACCAAAGTAAACATATAAACAGAAGATCTATTTTAACAAGAGGTTAACATCTGAGAATGCTGGATATTTTGTCTCTGGTAGTACATCCAAGTAATCTATTAGAGGATTTCTTGCTCCTATTCTTCATTTAGTTCAAGTATCCATAATTCCCAATTCATTTCTCACAGTATCTCCATTTGTGTCACCCATTCATAGGGAAGCTTCTGGCTCTCGACTATAGCTATTTGTTGAGATTTTATTCTCCACTTATACCTGTCCACCTAACAGACCTCAGCCTCTGGCCCTTGCCTTCTTGATACATTACTCTGTAACCCATCCCCCTCTAATACTTAGTACAGCTCAGTTTTACCGTGTACATCCCTGTTGGGAGCATCCACCTTTTGCAAATGTTACAAAGTGTGTGCTGTCCAGGGAACCTGCATCCAACCCATGAAGCCCAGTGCTCACTCCCAGTCCAAAGTGATTAAATGGCGAGGGTGCTGGGGGAAGGCAGTAGTGGGATGAGGCGGGGGTGGGTGGGGGGGGATAATTTCTTACTCTTGAGGCAAATTCATCACTGCTAATAATTTTAAAACAAAGCAAAACAAACAAAAAACCCTCTTTCTTATTACTGAAACATATATGGTATCCCAGAAAATAAACCCACTTCAGGAAAGAAGGAAAAAAGTTGGAAATCTGCCAGAAAAACCTCACCCAAGAACTAAACCAGTTGGAATCACTGTAACAAAAGCCCTTTGTTCCAAAGGCTCCAGGCAACAGAATTCCCCACTGTGTTCCCATTACCTGACCTAATTAATTTCTCAGTTTGCAACTGAAGACCAGAGTCTTTTGAGCTAGAAGCTGCAATAATCCAATCTCAGCCAGAAAAGAACCCTTGGGGTTACCAGTTCCTACACCTGCTCTCATACAGGAGTGAAGTAGAATCACCTCATAAACGGGTGATGGCAGGAGACAAATGCTGGATCCCACTTCCATACTAGGCTCCTTCACAATGGAAGGTCTTAATGGTGTAGATCCTTCTGTCGTTTTGCTTAATCCTACAATCCCACTGGAAGACAATTTATATAATCCCCACGAATCCTAGACAGAAAATGGTGGCTGCCACCCTTAACAACACAAGGGCGAAAAGGCAGGAGTCTCAAAAAAAAAAGCACAACTATTGAATATATTTTTTAATCAAGTTTTCAATCAAGTTGAGTAATTCTTTATTGAGTAGTACAAATGCCCTACTCATGAACAAAATAAATAAACAAAATGGAGACTTTAACTCTCAAGGCTGTTTAACAAGAGCAGAAGTTTCATATATTTGCTACATTAATTTCCCCTGAGAATTATCTATTTGGTGGGGGGAGTTTCATCTTGCATTTAAGTCATCATGACTTCATATATTTATCCACCAGAGTTATGAAAAACTTAATATTCAAGAGAAAGGCTTTAAAAATGATATTCCTTGAGTCTTATGTCACTGAAAGTTTCTAATATGAAGTCAGGAGTTTTCTTCTATCTATTTCTAAGAGAGGAAACGAAAACTTGACATTGCAAATGTCTATGTGCTGAGCTCAGCAGCAACACAGGCATTTCCACTCTCTGGCATGTGAGGTCCATGAACTCAATTCAATCCCATTCTCTCTCCACCACAATACAGTACTCACGTTACAAACTAACTTAAAGGTATTCATCACAGCAATCCTCCTTGCCAACGCAACTGAAGCTTCATCAGCCAGGCTTCCGTGGTAGATCGTTTTTGCACCGGGAGGGTACATGCATAAACACCAACACATACGTACAAAGACAGACATGTATGTATGCAATTGCAGAAACGGCTGCCGAAGACAAAACAGCCACCCCAGCTTTGTTTTAAAGAGAAGCACTCAGAAGTCCCTCCAGAATGCAAGACGCATCTACCCCAGCTGGTAAAAGAACACATCCACAGCCATGCCTTATTAGAGAAAGACAAGAGGTGTGCTCATGACTGAACATACTGTGGAGACTCTGGGCAATTAGAGAAGTTGACAGGAAGGTGGTTAGTGGTAGCAACAGGCCCATTCCCAAGAACCAGGAAAATCAATCTGTTACAGAGAGCAGAGTCAGTGGCAAGAAAGACGAGAGGTGGCCAGGCTGGAAGAAAGGTCCACTTACTGACGCTGCCACACACCGCCATGCAGTATTCTTCTGTGTCAAAGTTGTTCCTGTTGCCGCCACATCCGCCGTAAAAGAACGGGGCACACTTCCCTTCAGTGACATCAAAGTACCAGCGGGAGATCATTGCTCGGCAGGGCCCGGTCTCGGCTTGTTCAGAGCACACCTCTAATCAGAGGAGATGTGGGGAACCACATTTAGCACGAAAGGCACCGAGTTGGTGTTCATGTACACACGTTCACATGACTTATGCATTAATCCTCCCAGTAGTAACTGGGACTGGTTTAATTAGACAGCATCTACCAAACATTTACTGAGCAATTTAATCACCCACCAGGACTTCAGAGTTACCTCTGTAACAAGAGCAGGGCGTTCCCACCTGGCTCAATGAGTGTAGCACTCAGTAGTAATAATAACAGGATTCCGGCTAGAGGTGAAAATATCCTTTAGCTGCTTTTAGGTGAACGTTAAATGACAGAAGGTGCCTGTACATCAAAACCATTCTCCATGTGAAAAATAAACTTCTCTTTTAAAGTAATCTCAAGTCAACTTTGATGTCAAAGTACTGTTTTGGTTATGATGCAAACGTTTAAGCTCTTGCAAACATCTGATTGTTCACCTGAATCAATGACTGGCTTGACTCAAGTGTGAAATTAGTTGTGTGTATTTTGAATGTTTTCCAGTTTTTGGAGAGAGCCAACCTGTCCAGTGACTATATCTGGAAACATATGTAATACCTGTAAATGTGACTTATAGTTGATTACACTGACTCTAATTAAAGACAATTTTTATTTGTACATCTGACCCTTGGGCAGAAAAATAAAATATAATCAACAACTCTAATTTGTTAACACATACCATGCATTGTTTTTCATTAAAACACACCTTACCTGTCAACATGTCTTGCCACCCTCCCCAATATCAGTTTCATAATCTCTGACTGACTCAAAGATTGACTCATCCAATTCCATTTGTAAAGTTAATCATGATTAGAATTAGAACCTCTCATGTATATCCCATTTTTGTTGGAAGTAAAACAGCAGCCCCAATTCTCCCTCTGGGTTTGCACCCTGCCCTTCCTTGCTAAGCTGGTAGAGAGCCCGCTGATGCCTTAGCACACAATGTCTTGCTTATTCTTAGTTTAACTAACACACCAAGGGAAAAACACCTTTTTATGAGACAAAAGCCATGCATAACCCAGAGCTTCCAAGTTAGAAGTATTCAACAGATTGATTCTAATCAACTAATCAAAGACAAAGACCCACAATGTCAATGTAAAAGAGAACTCACATTTTACTTCCCTATACACGCTACTCATTGCTCTTTCAGTAAAGGCAATGAGAGCTGAGTGGGTAGCTCAGTTGGTTAGAGCGTGGTGCTGATAACCCAAGGTCCAGGGTTCAATCCAGCTGCAAAAAAAAAAATAAAAACTAAAAAAATAACAGAACTGAGATGATGGCAAAACCAAAAGCTGATGCCAACAGGGAGGACACAGCACTGAGCTTACAAGGTACGTGTCCAGCACTGCAGGAGAAATGCCCTGTGTAGCAGACATCCAAGGTGGTTCTGGCTGTCTTTGGGTGGTTTTGAGATGGCAGCATCTGACTCCAGGAGCATCAAGCTCCATGTTGCCCATCATTAAGGGCACCCCATTCAGTGCTGCTGCTTTGAAAGTCCATGCTCCCCAAGCATGTTTCTTTAATTGGCTGTTCAGAATTCTCCTGTAGGATGAAAAACAACTGATCTGTTGACACAAGTGAATCCCCTGCCCCCATCCCATGGCAATTTTATTTATCCTCCAAAACAAAAGAACTGGCATTCTAACTTGTACAGGGTAAATTGGTTTGGGGGGTCTTATCACCCCTGAGTTACCTACAGAGCAGCTTCTGGAATGCAGAGCTAAATTCATGCCCCAGATGTGGGCGCCCTGCCAACCCCACCCATCATCTGTCTCTACTCCTAAACCTTCTCTCAGGTGCAGCAAACACGTACAAATTGGCTTTTCCCCCTTCCTCTGTGTCTCCCTCACCAATCTGTACATGTTCATGTTTCATGCTCTTTCGTGTTTCTAAGACACATGACAATACTCATCATTAATCTCCTCCTCACACTGTATTAATTCCAACAAGACTAAGAGACAGGGGTGTCTCCTGAGCCTACACTGTTGACAGGGCATGGCCACCGCTACCAAAGGAGGCAGAGAATTCCTCCACCTGGTGGCACAGCCCTAAGTCATAGGAGCACTGGCAGCAAAATTCGCCATGCCTCGACATTCCTGCAAATTCCCCCATTTTTTTTTTTTTTTTTGTCTTTTTCCGTGTCCGGCAACGGGATTGCAACCCTCGGTGTTGCTCCCGCGCCTCGCTCAGCCAGTGAGCGGGAACCGGTCTGTATGTGGGATCCGAACCCTCGGGCGGGAGCGCCACCGCGCTTCCCAAACGGTGCACTATCCAGCGCGCCACCGGGCCGGCCCCAAATTCCCACATTTTATATCTCTTAGAGTACCAAATACATGTCTTTTGATAACTTGTCTGCCACTGGCCCCATATCTCTGCAGGCACAGGAAACTTGTCTATATGACCTCTCCTATGTACTAAATAAAAGTGGTAGAATTTTAGGTTGGTGCAAGTTAAGTAAAGGGATAAAAGAATGATGATCAGAGGAGCTCATCCATGATAGATATTTGTGACCCAGTAACCATTTCTTACTTCCAGAACTCAAATGGCATTATAATATATCATCATTTTCCTACACCACCAGTGAAACATAATGATACATTTTTATTTTCTGCCTCATTCTAAAATAGCTATGAAACCTTTTGTTACAGCTAATTTGTAGAAACCAGGCCAAATGAGCCCTAATCAGCAAAAATAAGCATTTTGAACTAAAAAATCCATTTATATGTCAACTAAGGAAATAGAATGAAATACATGATGTACCCACAACCCCTTTTGGAGTCTCTAGCCATAAGAGTCTTGACTCATTCACTCAGAAAAGGTCAAGAAGAAAGTGAGATCTCCACTTGGGCAGTGTTGGGTTGGCTGTCTTGACCTTGAATGGCCTCAAAGAGTTTCATGACCTTGGTGGAGTCCGTGAGAACCTTGCAGGGAAGAGCAACCAATGCCACAGGTACTCATATACAAGAGGACATTGGAGGGAATGTGGTCAGAAATGCGTACAGCAGTGTGCGATAATCTAATACCAAATATATAACGTATGGAGGAGCAGACGTACGTGAGCCCGGAAGAATAGGGCTGAGAACGTGCCTCTTTCGTTCTTAATCTCTAAAAGACACCTTGTCCAACTCCCTCTGATTTGCTGACCTACAGAAGCACATTCCATCTGCCCCAGTGCCAAAGAAAGCACATACAGGTCTTCTTGCAACCCCTGTACTGGCAAAAAGGGTTTCTCGTTATCATTTGCCCAAATAGCAGCATCACAGAACAACCATCACCTGGCACTTCCCTTCACTTTCCCTTAGGGCTATGACTAGAACATCAACTTTCTAGAGTAGCAGAGCTGATTTCAGAGAGGACCCTGAGTAGGACACATTATTTATCCTCTCTTACTCAAAATCGTATTCCTATGCAACTGTAGGGCAGTGTTTGGTCTCTCTTGAGATTTTCTCTAACCATTCATCATTCCAGAAAAATTGTCCATGTGGCTGAAAAGAGAACCTTTGCTGAGTCTGGGAGAAGTTGAGGGGTAGGAGTGGGGTCAGCACCAGAAAAGTATTAGGCTAATATTTTCACACAAAGTATTAAAAAGTATGCAAGAAACAGCAGACTTTTGGAAGAGAACACGGAGGAGCAGGAGTAAATACCTGGGTTAAAAAAGTGTGATAAAGGATTAATGTCAATTTTGTAGTTGGGATATTGTACTGAGTGAAGAATATACAGGATCTCTTTGTAGTAATTCTTTCAAGTGCACGTGAATCTGTTAAAATCTCCAAACAAGTACAAATAAAACAAAACAAAATAAAATGAAACCTCCATTAAAAAAGTAGGAAGTTCTCACTCATAGTGTGAGCTAAGAGAGAAAGAAAGAAGGAGAGAAAGACCACAGTGGTGCATTAGACTTGCAGAGAGAGAGAGAGAGAGAGAGCATACATACATAGGGTTGGGGGGGGGGATAGGGCGGTGTTGGGGATTAATTGGGTGGGGAGTGGGGAACATGGGGAATAATCACAATTTGTGGTAATGGGCATCCTGATACCTGATCTGACCATCATATCCTGGACCCAGGTGGCGACAGTGAGCTTTGTACCCCGTGAATATGCATAATCAATACAAACAACAACAACAACAAAAAGTAGGAAGTTCAGTTTGCCTTACAATTGTAATCTTGTCACCTTCCTATTCCCACAAAGTGCTACAAATCTCGGTTTGAGAAATTTTCCCTTAAATCCCTTTCCAGCAATGGTAAATTACCAAGAGATCTAACCACTCAGGATTCTAGCCAAGTAGAAGAGTTTTAAAGCCTTGAGACCTGAAATACATCATTTATAAGTTACATGATGAGATTCACAGAAAAAGAAATCTCAAGAGAGATTTCAAATGCTTACATTTACATGATTTTCTACTTTCTTCAATAGAATAGTTTCTTCCTAATCTACAGAAATTACTAAAACAATTCAGTGAAAAACCTGTTACTATTATTACTCAGTGGAAAATTATTTATAATTTCATCCACTAAACGTAGAGCATGTAAATTAGACCTTATATAACTAACCCCAAGTAGAATTCATCTGAAAATTACAACTGCATCTTCCAAATATATAATATACATAATTGTCAATTTAAAATAAAAATTAAAAAATAAATGAATTTAAACAAACAGAAACCCCGCATCTTCCTTTTCTCATCTTCATTCTCTTCCCAAAATCGAAAATAATAAAGGAAAAGACTATCATTTTAAAATCATATGCTAAACTCAGTTTTTTGAATTCCAGTCTACCTTAATTTTTACTCAAAGCAAATGTTATGGATAATAATGAAGAGAAATTTTACCCAGAATAACAGAAGCAGGGATATTTCTCAAAGAGAATGTTTAAGCAGAAACACAGGTACAGACTCACATGAACATCTAAGGAATGACCATCCTTGTTCATTCATATTTAGTTCTGTAAACTTTGAAAATCACAAATAGGTTTTCTAATGTTCATTTAGCTGA